GCACCGAAGTAGATCACTGAAAACCACTCTGACCCTTGAGTGATCCGGCCCCCCCCCCCCCCCCCCCCCCCCCCACCCCACCCCCCCCGGGCACTGGCCTAGTCAAGAGTAGTAGGCTCGATCTCCCAAGGGAGAGTCAAACCTGTCTGCGGTGGCCCAGGCCCCTACACCTAAAACCCCGAAATAAACCCGAAACCTAAAACCCTAAACCCTAAACCCTAACCCCTAAACCTTAAACCCTAAACCCTAAACTAAACCCCTAACCCCAGGCCCTAAGCTCTCGGCATGCAAAAAAATCGAGACAGCCTGAAGAACATGGAGCGAACGAAAAAAAATCCGCTGCCAGACTCGATGCTCCCTATCCCCAGTGAGTTTGAGAGCTTTCGGAGTGAGGGTTTAGGGTTTTAGGGTTTAGGGTTTAGGGTTAGGGTTAGGGTTTTAGGTTTTTTTTTTTTTTTTTTTTTTTTTTTCGGGTTTTGGGTGTTTTTTTTTTTTAGGGTTTAGGGTTTAGGGTTTAGGGTTTGGGGTTGGGTTTGGGGCTTAGGGTTTAGTAGGGTTTAGGGTTTAAGGGTTCCCTGAACAGAAACGCAACATTTAATTCAACAGGACCAGGCAACTGGAAGAAGCGGCCTCTGGACCTTCCTGACATCTTGGCCTCTTACACCCCTGCACTTCAACTGGGGTTTAGGTTTAGGTTTAGGTTTAGGGTTTAGGGTTTAGGGTTAGGTTTTAGGGTTTAGGGTTTAGGGTTTAGGGTTTAGGGGTTTAGGGTTAGGGTTTAGGTTAGGTTTAGGGTTTAGGGTCCAAGTCTGGGCCCTTAGTTTGGGGGGTCTCTCGCTATTTGACCGTCTCCTTATCTATGCAGAAATTTGGGTCCTGCTCGATCCCATATAAAATGGTTAGGGTTAGGGTATAGGGTTTGCGGTTTAGGGTTTCCACCTTAGACCTTACAACCTTTCACACCAGAACCGGAGTTAGGGTGGAGGAGTTTTTCTCGCGCCAGGCGTTGCAGAGTGCTTGGGATAGGGTTCGGGGCTAAGGGTTAGAGGTTTAGGGTTTAGGGTGTTTGGGTTTGAGAGATTAGGTGTATAGGGTCTGGGGATAGGCTGCTTGCCACGTGGGTTGCTTCGCCACAGACCCTTAAAGATGCTCGTTTACATGTTGCCCAAACCGAAACGCCTTGCGGACGTCGCCTACGGACTGCGCGAGTAGCGGTGGGGACCCACACAGCCCACAAAACTCGGACCCCTCCCGAAGTCCCGAATGACCTCTAAGACCTTGATTGAAACCCCTAAACCCTAAACCCCAAAACCCCAAACCCCAAACCCCAAACCCCCAAACCCTAGCCCGAAAGCCACAGAAACTGAGGCCAACGTGGCCGATGCGTGAGATGACCTGTAGGGCTTTACTTGGGAGGTTCATGGCACTTATTAACCAATCATAACTGTACTTTAATGGGTTTAAGGTTTAGGGTTTAGGGTTATGACCCAGTTACAAGTCTCTTAATTGCCCTAATATGGTCATGAGACAAGTTATAAATTCAGCTACAAGTGGTTAGTAAGTACCGTGAACCTCCAAGTAGGGTTTTGCGGCCTGTCAAGGGGGCTGTCTTGCTCGAGAAAAATACAGCAGTGAGGTAAAGCGCAAGCTATGTGTAAACAAACATGCAAGTCCGCTGTCTGGGGCTTCGGGTTCAGGGTTTAGGGTTTTCCGGGCTTCGCGCTAGTGAGGTAGGGGGGTGTTGGGTGTTGGGCTTCGGGCTTGTACATATGAGGTTTATCTTGTCCTTGAGCATATAGTCCATCATCAACTGAGTTTTTGTTACCAGTCAGGGGCCTTCGTGGTTTTGAAGGGGGGGGGGGGGGGTCCGTTTTAAGAAGTAAGGTGCGCAATATGTAGGGGCCGATCACATTAACTTCTTGGCAATACAAAGGGAATATAACTTAAATGAAGGGGTGATGCTTGGGAATCATTTAGGGCTTTATATTATCTGCAGGACTTCACATGCGCCACTGCATGCTGCGACCCGGACGAACTTCGCGTTGCAATACCAAAGCAATTTTGGACGATCCCCCTCCCAATGGTAAACCACAATGAAAGACAAATTGAACGGAAATGTTTCGATACCTGCATTAAAAAGATGGCAAGTTTAGATCTTTACTTCTTCATGTTTATGAGTAAACAAGCTTCAGGGGAAGTGTGCTGGAAGGGGTCCCTTATGACCGTAAATCCCCTTTTACTCACTGAGCTCAAAATGGTTGGGGGCCTACTCTCATAGTGATGGCAGTAGCTTGCCCAGACCCGCCGAAACCCTGCACCCTGACAAAGCGCTGGTGCACCGTCGGTTGCCCTAAACCCTAACCCTAAACCCTAAAACCTAACCCTGAACCCCAAACCCTAAACCCTAAACCTTAAACCCTAAACCCTAAACCCGAAACCCTAAACTGAGTCCGCGGGCTTTCTTTTGGATGGAGGAACGGACCCCTGTTTGGTCAGCAGCGGCGTCGGTCCCTGGAACCAAAAGTCGGCCCGGCGCCAAGGGGCTCTTCAGAACTGCGGTTAGGGTTTAGGGTTTAGGGTTTAGGGTTTAGGGTTTAGGGTTTAGGGTTTAGGGTTTAGGGTTTAGGGTTTAGGGTTTAGGGTTTAGGGTTTAGGGTTTAGGGTTTAGGGCTCAGGGTTTAGGGTTTAGGCCTTAGGGTTTAGGACCAGGGTTTAGGGATTGAGGTTCAGGGTTAGGGCTGGGGGTCCAGGCGGTTTGGGGTTTAGAATTTGGGGTGGCCTACAGGGCTTCTTTGAGTTCGGGTATAGTTTAGGGTTTAGGGTTTAGGGTTTAGGGTTTAGGGTTTAGGGTTTAGGGTTTAGGGTTTAGGGCAAAGTTTAGGGTTACCCTCAAGCCCTAACATGCCACAAGAATGGCTGATATAGTCTCCAGGATAGCCCCCAAAACTCCCTGAACAATATTCCTAAACACGATCCGCTTAACCCCGTTTAGGGTTTGGGGTTCGGGGTTTAGGTTGAGTGTTTACGGCTCAGGGTTTATAATCCTCTTAAACCCGTTAAGGGGAACACACATGCAGTAAGCCCTAAACCCTAAACCCTAAACCCTAAACCCTAAACCCTAAACCCTAAACCCTAAACCCTAAACCCTAAACCCTAAACCCTAAACCCTAAACCCTAAACCCTGTCCCCCAAAGCCCGGGAGCAACTCTCCGAGTATCGGGGCTCGGGTGCAGAGCTGAATACGGAGTTCGCGGCTCATTCTCATTAGTGTTTTTCTCTTTCATAGTATAGAATTATAGTTTGCAGCTACAGAGCCTTCTGAAACACCACGAACTACCCATCAAACAGAATGAGAACTGACATGCGCGGTCACAAGTCAAACGGGCATTCCTTTTTTCGGCTTCGCGCGACACAGGTGTCGCAATCCAAAACGTCCTGGGGCCCACAGGGCTTCTTGGAGTTTAGGGTTTAGGCTGAGGGTTTAGGGTTTAGGAAAATAATACCCTAAAACCCGCAACGACTTTTTGTTCGCATCTCTCAGGCCAACGCAGGCGAAAATCGGATCCATTGCGGGGAGCACCTCGCCCTGTGCCAAGTCCCTAAATCCCCTCCCCCTAAGATGAGCCCTCCCCTCCGCACCCCCCTCATATTAAACACTCCAACGTATAGTCTTCACAAAGACAAACATAGAGTTTGGGGTTTAGGGTTTAGGGTTTACGGTTTAGGGTTTAAAGTTTAGGGTTTAGGACAATCCTGAGCCCGAGAATGAAGCTTTTGTTGCAGCCCATACGTCATAAGTCCTTCCATTCTCATTCGAAGCTTTGACATAAGCAGCCCGAGACCAACCAAAAAAAAAACTCACCTTGAACTCTGAAACTTGGGATCTTCCCCCTTTATACTAGCAGTCCTTAAATAGGGTTTAGGGTTTAGGGTTTAGGGTTTAGGGTTAGAATACAGGGTAGTATGATAATCCCTATTAAGCACTGTTAGGATGTAGAATCCCCATTAAGGGCTGTTAGTATAAGAGGGGAGCATCCCAACTCTGGAGCTCCACCGGCCGGAGGGTGAAGGGGCTCGCCCCCCCCCGCACCTGCAGCCTCGACGGAGAAGGCCGCATCTAAGAGAGGCCCAGCTCTTCCAACCAGAGGTCTCAGGGTTCTGCAGGGTTCGCTAGGTACCATCATGCCTAAACCCTAGACCCTAAACCCTAAACCCCTAAACCCTAAACCCTACACCCTAAACCCTAAACCCTAAACCTTAATCGAAGACCTGGAAGACGGGGCAAACGAATTCGCGCAGCCCAAGGCATAAGAACATCGGGACTGCCTCGAAACGCTGGGCACCAATTGGTGCCGAAGATTGGGGCTTAGCAGGGGTTTAGGGTTTAGGGTTTAGGGTTTCGTGTTTAGGGTTTAGGGTTCAGGGTTTAGGGATCACACACCTTCTGCTATAGTCTGGCGATAGCCCTTTCAGCGAGTATGTGGTCTGTAAACAATATTATCAGGCTCAGTTGCACGGGGACTTCGGTCGAATCGCTAGGTCCCCGAAGCCGTAAACCCTGAACCCATAGCCCCCAAAACCCCGAAGACCCCAAACCCTAAACCCTGAATCCATAGCCCCCAAAACCCCTAAGACCCTAAGCCCCCAAAACCCCTAAGCTACGGACAACAAACGAAGCGCTGAAGTTTCCGTGCTGGACCATGAAAATGCCAAACTCTAAACCTTAAACCCCAAATCCTAAACCCCAAACCCGAAACCCTAAACCAAACCCCAACTTCAGCTAAAGGCCTTCAATCCTCGTAGCTCTCGGGTTTTTGTTTTGCCTTCAGGCCTTTGGAGCTTAAAGGGCTTTGATGGTTTCGGGGTTAGAGGTACAACCCTGAACCCTAAACCCAAACCCTAAACCCTAAACCCTAAATCCTAGACCCTAGAAGCCTTAAAGCGGGCCCCAAAGCCCCTAAAAACTTCCGGCCCAGATTGGCTCTGCCATCTCCCGGGGG